GCCTATACCAGGGTAAAGATCCTGGAAACAAGATAGGAAATAATATAGTTGTCTATTTATGTGAACCTATTGTCCAACAGGAAACCTAAGCTCAACCATCCACCCCAATGCCACGTATGTGCTTCCAACTATAGCTCCATCCATTATCAGTCAAGTCTCCAATGAGACAGCTACCGCTGATAGTAAGTAATTCCTTCCTTCCTTCTTTCTCTCTTTCTCCCTCTTTTTTTCTTTCTTTTTTTCTTTCTTTCTTTCTTTCTTTGTTTGTTTTCAATTTCTTTCTTTCATTCTCAGACGTGTTCTTTATGGAGTTCAAGCTGGTATCAAAAGAATGGAGCTCAGAGCTGAACACAAAAAGTGCGACTTTCATTGAACTGGCAAACGAAATCACAACAAAGGTAACCAGAGGTAACTAATTGTCTTTGTAAAAAAAAAAAAAGACAATAAAAATCGAACGTATGCATACTTTTCTTTTAGATAGGGGAAGTCTACAGCAGCAGGAACGATACGTCTTATAATGGCAGTCTTGTGTTGGGATATCGGTAATTCTTAGAATCTCTGTATCTTTCTATCTATTCACTTATCCATCCATCCATTCATCCATCCATCCATCCTCTTCCTTCTTTTATTTTAATAGCTATCACTTTTTCTTTCATTATTTTTTTTCCTTTTAATTGTCAATTGTTTCACCGATTTACAGTACGATTTTTCACTTAATCCTTAAAAACACCAACGAAACCTATCGATAAATAACCTACTACTTTACCCACTAACGTACTTTTCCTAGTAACTCTTCCAGTGAGGGTATCTACGCGTCAGTCAAGATTCAATACGAGAGAGAAGATACAATGAACGTATCATTAGTGGACCCACTGCTTGAATACTTCAGAAMTGGAGGATCTGATGGATTGTTGACAGATACTGTCTTTATCAAACTCAGCAAATATGGTAGGTATAACGATTACAGTGCTTTCCAACCACACGCGTTGAATCGTACGATTTGTCCTCACTAGAAAAAGCCGTTCGATTTGAACCCACGATGAGCGCGCGCTCAAAAACCGCTGAATGATCTACAAGATTTTATTGAAAAACCATACACGTTAACGTTTTGAACTTCAAGTAAGTAAAACCCTCAAATTTTGTACAGGACTCTATACTTTTCATAAGCTTATTTGTAAAAAAAACTTCTAACACACGAAAATATAGATTTTTGTAGGAATTTTTGTTCGTCTTTATGGATTTTTTGAAGGCACTGAAAGGACGAAATATGACAAATCAATGCATTTCTTTGTCTTTTTGTCAATAATATCCATGTAGTATTGTAGAATGATTCACTTGCCGGCATTTGTGCAGTTATAGAGTCTGTAAAGATCTATATTATCTTGTGAGTTTTTCCCTGATCAGCATTTTCGGTGGCAAAATTTTTGCTTCAAAACCTAGCTTGTAGGCATCAATTAAATGCTGATTATCTCAAAAACAAGCTCGGAACACTCCATTTTTCTTTTCATATTTGGAATCGAGAATCAGTATTAAATTTTACTCTAGAAAATCGTAGTTTAAAGAAAGTTTAAATTTTTTTCCCAAAAGTAGCCAGTCACCTTAAGTTTTAACAAACTTTTAACCCCAAATAAAATCGTCGTTCACGTGGCAATCTATGCATATTTGGTAATCTTACCTTAATYAGAAGTCTGTAAGTRAACATATRATCTTTCTTTGGGTAATGTTCCGCCATTTGAAGCTTTAMAATGTCCAAATSARTCAAAASCTRCAGATATTATAGCGACGAAACAGTTGACCAAAAACTTGAACCGCCTTTTTGGATTTAGCTTAGAGACCTGGCTTTTGACAAAGGAAGCCCAAAACCTTCAAAATCACAGGGATTCCGCACGAACGAAACTATCGATAATTTTAAAATRAGGAATATCGGGTTTTGGTTAATCTCAATCAAAAATGTTTACTTGACATAACTTGTTTGACATTGTCGGATATCATTAGGTCCGTGAAGTACATGCCTATAAATGGAATTCAAGGAAACGCCTTGATTGACTCGTGTCCAGCAAACTCCTATTTCACCATATTCAGAGACTGAGCAATTGCTCTTGCTTGATTAGATGAACATAGTATAATTATATTGAATAGATTATTAGGACTATTCAGCAAAATCTGGCTTTTCTCCCAAATATATAAGGTAAGCTTACCAAATATGAATACAGAAATGATGGCCACATAAAACGACAACTTTATATGGGAGAAAGCTTGATGTGTCCTGATTGGCTATTATATTTTATGGCCAATTGTTTTCCACTCATGCGCAGTACCCTTCATCACAGTTTCCATTCCCTTCACAGCTGATTGCGTCATTTCCTATGTGGATACGAGGCTGTGCTACTGCTCCACCAGGACATACAAGAAACAGATCAAATGTGCCGAACCTGACGTCATTGGAGGGGAAGTGTGCCCTCAGAAGTGCTACAATGGACACCAGATGACGGGCACTACRCCATGTACGTGGGATGATCTCGATGCCTTTAGATGTTCAGCCGTGTCATKTCAGTCCGYCATGATWACAGTTGTGTKCACYGTTCTGTTGTGTTTGCTAAATGTTTGAGGATTTCGTTATGTATRCATGTGACATCATAGCCGCCATGTTGRTYGACATGCACAAAAKATTTRGTCTTSGTTTATTCTTTCATTATATCAACCAAGCTTCTCGGCTCCCTCTTCGTAGTGCCATTGTTTCATTTGCATTTTGAAGCCGACTCTATGCTTCTAACTTATGCATGACCTCCGTTTGTGTCATTTCTTTCTTTAGCGGACGCTTGACTGAGAATCAGCTTCCAGAACATTTGAAATCGCCCAAAGTATTTATTGTGTTTGTTGTTTAACAGATCAAAATCAATTTTCCGTGTTTGATACTCTGATCAAAACACGCGGGATGTTGAGAGAACACGAGAGGAGCGTAGGAAACCACGACGCGTAGCGGAT